TAAGGAAAGAGTTCTCCTGCAGTTTTCATATCGCTCCAATTTTAATATGTAGCCAAATGCTACAGGATCACCAGATAGTTTAGAAAATGTTAACTATGTCATAATTTGGAACCATGGTTAACTCAAGACAGAATTTAATGCATTCTTAAGGGGACAGTGATACTATGACTTGACAAACAATGTACAGTTCTATTTCAGAGACTTGAGCACCAGCGTGATGGAAAGTTGAATATATTAAGGAATGGCAGACACTGAAGTTGGCTGATGAAAGGCCTTTGAGAACAAGCCAGTCAGTCATCTACTACAACAGTGGCATTCTTAAAAATGACTTGAAGATAACCTCTCGGAGTCCCTTCCAGACTTTTTAAAAATTATTTAACCTGCATGTCAGATGTAGTCCAACCTGATTTATCTACAATTTTCCTCAGCATATTCCTACAAATACTGTAGAATAAAGTTCTGCTTCTGAGACAGAGGACTCGTCCAAGGCATCACCCTGCTGTGGTACTGTCAAACCAGACCGGTGCTCCAGGGAGCTCTTGAGAATTGGAAACATCTCTCCCTCCACTGCCCTCACACAAAACTTCACATGTGGGCAGTTCTCAGAGGAAGTTTCCATCCTCAGAAGCTGTGATACCATTTGATTCTGACACATTGCTAGCCCCAGTGAAAAAGAACTCGTTAGCTGGTTTGGGCTGTAACAAGAATGGCTGGGAATACTACTTGAAAGTTGGAATTGGCTTTGTACTGCTTCTGAGAAGACATCAAAAGGACAAAGAGCTAGTAGTTTAGGTCTAAGAGCAACATCTTTAGTTTTGTTCTTCCTGTAGTCACTCCAAATATAGTTTAACAGTTAAGTTTTCCATAAGAAAGGAAAATAGTGTCACCTGTGTGTCCAATAAATGCATATAATCAGCATGACAGTTCTTGCTTTAATATAAGAAAAATGCGAATGGGTCCATCAGATTTATAATTAATAACTGAGCTTCTGAGGAGAAAAGGAGCATCTTATTGCCAGACCAATGAAAGAGCTGGTTTTTAGCTTGTCTTTACAGTGTCCATTCTGAACTCTTCTGCTGAAAAGGGTGATGGGGAACAGAATTAGAACTATTTTAAAGTCATCCTAGCACCGTATGCTAACCTTGGAAAATTTCCTCCAACTTAGCAGTAAAAGGGCAATGTATATGAAGGACAAAGTTTGACACATCACATCCAGTGCCTCAGCCAGATTTCAATGGATTATTAAAAGCTTTGTAGCCCAGATATCATAACTACACACCTAAAAAATCCTAAGCCTCAACTCTTTCTTTTTATAACCTTAAATATTCCAGCACATTTCCAATGCAGATCTGCATAAAGCCATGACAGGCACTGGAGCACAACCAAAGAAGGGCAATGAAGCTGATAAAGGGTCTAGAGCACAAGTACTATGAGGAGCAGCTGAGGGAACTGTGATTGGTTGGTCTGGAGAAAAGAAAGCTCAGGGGAGACCTTATCACTCTCTACAACTACCTGAAAGGAGGTTGTAGCAAGGTGGGTGTCAGTCTTTCCCAAGGTAAGAAGTGATAGGACAAGAGGAAGAGGCCTCAAGTTGTGCCAGGGGAGGTTTAGATTGGATATTAAGAAAAATTTCTTCACCGAAAGGGTTGTCAAGCACTGGAACAGGCTGCCCAGGAAAGTGGTTGAGTCAACCATCCCCAGAGGTGTTTAAAAGATGTGTAGACATGGCACTTAGGGACATGGTTTAGTGGTGGACTTGGCAGCATTAGGTTTACGGTTGGACTCAATGATCTTAAGGGTCTTTTCCAACCTAAATGATTCTATGATTTTATCAGTTCAGCTGTATATGGGCTGCCAGTGATTCCCAGATAAACCACCAGGCTTCACTACTCCAAAAAGTAATTTCTGTTTTAGACACAGCATCCTCACAGCATTCAAGTTCCATGTGTGATAAGCATTAGCTAAGAACCCCAAAACACTCCTTGCTGAGGAATAAGAGTAACAACTGTGCTTTATCATAGGAAAGCCTTGTTGAAAGTTAGTTGAAATTCCATAAAACAAATTGCTATTGCTGCTTTTTAAGGGACAACAGTTGGTGTAATGGCTTTAACTATTAGTATCCTCTACAGAGAATTCTATTAGTCATGTGACATGTACATCAAAAACTTTTGTAAACACTGAACTGATAAGAGCCAGCGTAGTTCCCCCAGTACTTTTCAAGTTAAGTTCTTATGAGTGTAAACCATTTCTAATGTGAACTTAGAAGAAGCTTGGCTGTGTTTCACTGTGCAATTGCATGATCACCAATATCAACATCAGAAAGCACAAGTTTGCAGCAGCCCAGGCTACTTCAGCTTAAGATCGAGTGGGCACTCTAATCATTCTAGTCAGTTTAAGAGCTTAGAATCTCGATTCAGTGTCTCTACTATTTATATGTATTTATTATCCTCTGAAAGTGAATTATGCCCAAATACTGTTAATGCTTTTACTGCTTTCAGTGGAAGATTGTTTAAAGAATGCTCTGCAGTCACATTACATGAAAGAATAACCAGCTTACTTCCAGCTGAATGATTCTTCTACAGTAACAGAAAGTTTACAAAAATCCTAGAGGTCACCTTGACTAAGCTAACCTTTTTCATATTTGGTACTTTTATTAAGGTTTTTTTTTGCATTTTATGTCTGATTAATGTCTGAAACACTTGTTTGAATACCCCTCCTCTCAATAGCTCAACAGTCTCACATGGAAGATTTACAAACATCCCCACAATTCATATACTGTAGAAGGCAGTACAGAACACTAGCTTAAAATAATTCAACTTCCAAATCAACAACTGCATCCAACATAGAATCATTTATATTAAATCTACCTTAGCAGGTGAGGAGGAAAAATATTTTATTCATTACATAATTTTAACTTGATCAAACTGCCAACGTTTTTATATTTCCTGTATGCTAACAGACTAAGGAGATATGCGTCACTGTTCATCGGTTCTCAAAACTTGTGAAAGTACAAAAAAAATTCATTATTTTTGTTTTCCTTTTTAAAAATAGTTAAGGAGGTTATTGACTTCTAGTCCAACAGCTTAAGGGATGTTCTATGACAGAGGCCACATATGCAAGAGCTCAACTAACAAGGTAAATGAAGGCAGCTGAAACGAGGTACATGTAAAATAATGAAGCTTCTTAGAGGTAAGTAGAAGTGTAGTATTTACAAAAGCAACAAAGAACAGCTTTGAAGAAAAATCTTAAATATATTGATCCATCATTTGCATCTGCAGTTCCACTATTTACATACACTAACATCAGACATTCAATATTTGTCCTGCAATTGGAGTAACAATAAAATACACTCCACTCCGAAAGTAACTGGGAAGAACATTGAACAGTCAAAGTTAAACAGTCAGTAATTTTTAGAACGTTCAGTAAGGGTTGAACTACCTGATCTCCCAGGTATCTGCTATCAAAGAACATATGAAATCAGACTATGTTACAAACAAGTTGTGACCACAGATGTTCAAACAAGGGTCATAAGATAACTATATTAAGAGAAAGAACAACCTCTTAATGTAAGATCTGCCTCAGAGTGAGCTGATGAGCAAAGTTCTAGTTCATAAATATTTCATCAGCTAGCCCATATGAATGGAAGCAAGCAGATGTGGTACAACATTTAGCTCTGCATGAAGAAATCTGAAAATAATACAAGCCTTCCCAAACTATCCAGTTGCAGTAACATTTTTCTAACCTCATCTCCTAGTCCAAGTCCACTTTCTTATAACATTTGGCACATCTTGTAAGATTGCCTCATCTTTATGACTGCTGAACTTAACCAATGCCATTCAAATTGTACCAAGTATAGAGATCAATACATTCTCACAAGCTGTGTGAAAAATAGTTGGTTCAGGAAGGACCTTAATGCCCTCGCTGACAGACGTACAATGAATGCACAACCCTTACTAGTTGCCAGACAATTCATGTTTGAACTCAAGTTTTGAGGCATCTTATTTATTATTTGAGCAACTTATTTAGAATGCAAAACACTTCAAAACAGAAATGGAAAGAAATACAACATGGGATAAAGGATACCTTTTTTTTGTAACCTGTATATAATGATCCTAAATGAAGGATCAGTCCTCACAACAAATTTAAGCAAGTTCAATGTACCATTTGAATCCTAAATTAACAGTCACAGCATTTCTTCACAGAAAGGCATAACTAACATTAGATAGGATCAGAGAAGTGAAATTCATGCAGCATTAAGGCAGTTAAGGAGAACTTTACCTCAGAGCGGCATATGAAAATATTACATAGTATGAAATCCTTTGGACAAATGATTTAAGTGGGTTCATATACTGAAAATGTAGTTAACCTCCTCTTTTCAAGGAAGGTATAACAAGAAGGAGAACATATGAATGGAGACAAAACGTTACTTGAATTAACTACTGCTTTGTAAAGTGGATCACCTTTGTAATATGAATGAAAGGGAGAACAGAAACAGATTAAGCTTATTCTCCCCAGGACAAAATTTACAAGCTCTACAACAGAGAAAGCTTGTCTTCCTACTTTTACTTGCCCTCAGTCTGCCAACCCAGATGGGTTTTCAGTCATCTGGCAAAAGCAAAGGGAAACCACACCTCTGAGCAACTTCACAGTGGAGACTCCATCACATGAAACACTTAAGCAGCTGCCAAAGCTAAGTCCCACTCCTCCCCATGTGCTGAAGGAATGAATTTTTTTTTTTTTTTCTTGCCTGATTTGCTGTTAACTGCTCTCTAGCTGGATACTCTTAGTGGTCATTATTACCGTTGCTACACTGCAGAAGTCCTGAACTTTCTCCTTCAACTGTCTTCTCTGTAATCAGAGTACCCTCTCTGGTTTAGCAACATAAAACAGCATTTGTTTGATGTTCTGAACTTCTCAAGCACCATAATCTTATTGAAAAAAAAATATCATAGTGATATACTTCGCTAATGGATAGCTTGTTCTAAACATTTGTCTCTCACCTTTGACAGAAGCAATTTCACACAGGAAACATGGCCCTCATAGACTGCTGATAGGAGTGGTGTGATATTATGTTTGTCTGGAGCCTGTAAATTGAGACACAGTTATTTGAAGCACAATTTCACACAACATTAAAAGGTTTCACTTAACATTTTAATTTCGTTTTGTCAACAGTAGAGCGAAGGTAAGGATTTAAGAATATTATCCAGAAATGCATCTCCTCAGAATTTTTTACTCTCCTTTGCAAAAATAAAACTAATTGCTTAAAAAAACAACCAAGTAACAGCAAAGTATTTCTCCATAAGACTTCTAGGTATCCCTAAGTTTGTCTGTTTTTTCAGGTCAATGACAGAAATTGCAGGGTTTCAGCTGACAAATTTTGCCCCATTTAAAAACACTACTCTTAATTCTCGCATTTCTCAGCCAGCCTGACTTAAGAAACCAGTTTTGGCCAAAACATTGTTTGGGCTGTCTTCTCTCTAAACTATATTCCTGGAAAGAATAAGAAATGGAGCAACTGGAATGTTCTTATTTTTGCCTCCATATTTTCCTCCTCTCTAGCTAGGAGAGCTCCTGAGGAAGAGACAATCTTTCCAGACACCAAGGAAAAAATCCAAGCCATTTTGTTAAGGACGAAAATGAAGATGTCTTATACATTAACTTTCAGACAAGTATTCTAAAGCACAGTGTTTGGGGTGTATGGTTAAAGTATTTAGAAGCTTCACTTCATGGAGAGCTAGACTATTTTGAAGTGCCAACCGGCCCTGCCAAGTCTTTTCAGGACAAAGAGCCATGCATGTCAAGCTACAGCAAAATGACTAAGCTTGTACAAGTAAGAATGTCTCCAAAAAAACAGAAACACACTAATTTAAACAGAGTTGATCCTGGCCTGGCCAAGGATGCATTGCACTTTCTTCTGAAGTCCCTTCCAACAAATGTAATACCTATTTCATGCAAACTTTATTTAGATGTGATTACAGGATTTATTTTTCTAATCATGGTCAAATTAAATTTAAACTTCTTATAGCTACAAACAACTTTTCCTAGTGTGTTCAAAAATAATAAAAACATTTAATAAACATAATTTTAAGCTTCTAACCTCTAAGAGACCGTCTCTCAAACTTTTTAAACGCACAGAATTGTTTAGTTTGACCTAAGTCTTTCAGTAAGCATTTAGGCAGTTATACCAATCCCTTATGGGGGGGGGGGGGGGGG